ACTTGACTGTGATTTTAGAGTGTGTGTGAGTGTGTGTGTAAACTCTGGGTCCACCTCTCCAGTACTCTCCTGTCAGGTAGCTGTAGACAGCAATGGGATCCCCACTTTCGCTTTTGTTAAGACTGAACAAACACATTTCCCTCCGTGTCTCCTTGTATATCATGTGGTTTGAGCCCTCTATCTGTCTTTTGCTTCACTCTCTCTATTCTGTTGCTCTTGGAGATGTGAAAACCAAACATGATACTCACAGGTGCTGAATAGAGGAGCAAATCCCTTCCCCTTGGCCTGCTGGCTGCACTCACGGGATGTGATTGGTGGGCATAGTTCTTCTCTATTGTATTGTTTAACCGTGGTTGTCTCCCACCACCAACTCTTTCTTTCCTCCCTTTCTTTTTCTTGGCTTTCCCAAATCTCCAAGTCACAGGTATTTGCCCTGAGCTTGTAATACGATGTCTACCTTATGCCTGGGTTCCTGCAAGCATTTCTCTTGCCCGTGGTCTTTTACCATTTAAAACGGTTACTAGTCTGTGAGGCAGCTTTTGTTTTATATACTAAGGTAATTTCTTTAAGATCTTCTGGTGAAGGATCTTATCAAAACCTCTCTGTGTTCCAGCAGTGGTAATTTGCTTATGGTGCTCCAAAATACTTCCTTGTCCTTTCCATGGTAGTTGTTGATGCTGGGGGGTTGTTGGGTTAGGGGTGTTTTGCAGGCCATATTTTCTGCCCTAATAGGGAAGTGGAGACCAGGAATCGATCTCTGTTCATAAAAAGCTGGACACTTCAACTGATAGGTTAGATAAGAATAGTGGCTAGCTGCTGTTGTCTTACCCAGTAATTGCCACGGTGCTGTCCTTTGCTTTTCTGCTGGGGTGCATTTCAGAGGAGTTCTAAGGCAAAGATGGAACAAAATCTTCCCCTCTAGACTCTGTGCAACAAAGGTACTAGCAGTTATGGTATCCTTCCTCAGACGAAACAGGTATTTTTTGCTGTTCATACTGAGTTACTGAGAAGCAGATAGTCTAGAGAATGGGTTCTGTCATCTGTATAGTTCTTTGCAAGTTTAGATTTTGGGATGAATGCCCAAAAGTCTTGCCTTGTCTGACCAGTTCATGTGTCTTTTGAAGCAATGCTGGTCTATACCATTGAGCTTTCTACTTCAGTACATACTGCAGAATATGCAGGGCTAAATTTTGTATGAATCCTGCCCACTGACCTCTTTTGTTTTATCTCGCCTGGCTACTCTGCAGCATGTGGCAGCCAGCCTTTGGGGTGGCTTTCTTCGGGCTTCATCTTGGTAGCCTCTAATCTCTCCTTGGAGGGAGTGCATGCCCAGGCAGATGTGAGCTGACAATTCCCTGAGTACAGGCAAAGCCATCCCTGTTTGTTCTGAGGAGCTGGTGAGCCTGTGGTAGGGAAGGGGGGGCCCTCAAGCTTCTTCCATCATGACCAAACAAGATGAGGAGTACTATCTCCAGGGTGGGGCCAGATAGATCTAAAAATTTAGGGCTGTTATCTTCAGGAGGTAGTCATTCCACCTGTGTCCTGGGACTTGGAGCAGTGCAAGGTGCACTCAGGGCATTTGTCTGCATTTCTGCATGCGCTGTGTCCAAGTTGTATTGCTCTGGAGTGTCCACTGTCCTGTCTCAACAAGCAGAGTGGCTTGAGCTCTTTTTTTTTTTTGTAGACAGGCCGCAGGCTTTTAGCTTTTCTGCAGAATATCAGATTTGCTATGTGATAATGTACCTCATAGGTATTTTGGATGCCTTCACAAATCTCTCTTTATCCTTCTAAATGAGAAATAAGAAATCCATCCAAATGTCCTGAAAGCTGTCCTCTGACTGGAGAGCTGCTGAGGTAAACATGTTTCCCTTAAATGCTGTCAGGAGGTTCAAATCTTTTGCTCTTGAACTGGCTGCTGGCAAAGCCTCTTCTGGGCATTTTTCTAAGTTCAGTGATCTTCTTACTATATCTTTTATCAAACGCTAACACTTTCCTGGTGCCTGTGTAGTTACATAATTTATATGTGGTGAGAACCGAAGGACTTGGACTGTCCTTCCCTCGGTTGTAGCTAGCCATTACATTGTCATAGCCCTGTTTGTCAGCATGCACCCCAAGAAACTTTGAACTTGAAGAACGCTAGTCTTGCAGCAGAAAAACAGAGCTGCCTGAAGGGAAGTTATGAGCACAGCAATAGGTTCTCCATATCATGATCATGTATCATTATCCTCTGAAGATAACCCTAAGAGGCCAGGGGCCAGCTAAAAGGAAAAGGCAGACCATATAATGGTTAGCACTTCAGTGATCAGGTAAATAGCTAACTGGGTTTGTGATTCCAGGGAGAATGGCATCATGGCTGGTAGACACGAAGTACACAGCTCTCCCAAGACATCTCAGTATTGTACCTGTTGCTGAGCGTGAAGTGATCGTTGTGGTCCTTGTGGTGCTGAAGGCGTAGGGAAGAGCAGAAGAGGTTCTCTTTAACTATTATATAGCAGGTTGAAAACCAGGACCTCTGCTGTGGCAGTCTCCCAAATGCTTCTCCCCAGCCTTGCACAGTACTGCCCTTTGCCAGGAAGAGAGATGAGAAGGAACTGCTCCGCTATGTTGCTGAAGAATTGGTCTGAGGAGGAGGGGTCTGGATCCCCTGAAACCTGGGGCACTTCTGAAACAGAGTGTGTTTTTTAAAGATGGGACTGACTTAATTTAGAGCACTGTAAAACTGGGTTTCAGGTGTTTAAAATCTGGAAGGTTAAGCTACCAACATGTGAAGTGTACAAGAAAGACAAAGTTGGCCATGTTTGTGAAGATGTGGTGCTATTTATTAAAGAGATCATAGACTAAGAGCTGATAAACTTACAGATCTCTAAGGATTAAAATTGCTGTGTAAACAAGAAAAAAAATCAATTATTACAATTTCTGTGCTATTTGATTGGGGTGGTGACAGTGATTGAGATGGAGAAGTCAAGGGCAGGGAACATTTGCTGTGGGAGACTTAACCCATGTAGCTTGAAGAAATGTGACTTTGGGACCAAATTCTGCAATCGTATTTTTAGACATGGTCAATGTTTTGTGGAGCAGGTGGTTGAAGAAGCCACAGGAAGAAAACTGATACTGTGAAAGAATAGCTGGACACTGGCTGTAGCTTCTTTGGATTTTACCTTTACATGAACAAGAGCCCAACAGTAACTGTTAATTTCCAAGTGATGTAACCTAAAAATATGGAAGCTTGTTAAAAACAAACTGAGCAGGGCAGCTGTTCCTGTGGTTTCAGGGGATATTAAGAGAATTACAGACCATGCACATCAACAGAAATAGAACAAACAAAATGGATACGTGCATAAATATTGCAGTGAGGAAGAAGAGCCCTGCAAAAGGTGGCTATGTCTTACAGTCCTCTTGAATGCAGAAGCAGGTAAAGATCAGTCTGCCTGGATTTGCAAAAGCCATTTGGCAAGGTCCAGTCTCAGAAATTCTTGAGGAAGGTAAAGGAAATGTGGGATAAAGTGAAGGAGCTTGTGTGGTTGAATGATTGGTTGGACAATTAGCTGACAGGTAGGAAGGGGGCAGAGAAATTAATGGCTCAGCTGTGTGTGTCATGGACCCTCTCCTCCCTGCAGCTGAGGATGTTCACCAGTGGATTTCTGTGGGGATGTGTACTACACCTCTCGTGTTAACAACTGTAATAAATGACCTGGAAGTGAAATTAATAGTAAGATGATATTTTTTTCTGATGCTATGAGGCTAACTAGAGTTGCAAAATCAAAGGCTAACTATGGATGATAAAATGAAAGATCCAGCCTCAACTGCATAGATGTAAAATAATTCTCACGGGGTGAGAATGAACAATCCAAATTTGACACAAAAAGTGGTCTCTGAGCTGATTCTTACAGTGTGGGGCCAAGTTCTTTGTGTCCTGGTTCCATGGAAAAATCAGCTCAGCTCTCATCTGCAGTCAAAAAATAAATGGAATAATACAGACCAAGAGGGGGAGGAATAGAAACCAAAACAGAGAACATCGTTATACTGTTGTCTGTAATAATCACTGTGCGTTTGTGTTGTGAATGATGCTTGTGGTTCTGGTTTCCCCCTGCTTCTCAAAGAACATACAGAACTGGAAGTGTAGCAAGAGGAGTATAGATGAGCTTCCATAAGAGGAACAACTGAATAAACTGCGAGTAGTCAACCTTTTAAGAGACCGTTGGGGAGCGGGGTATGAATGAGGACTTCACAGTTCTTGAGAAAGTTAGCGGAGAAATGCTGTTTCTCTCTTTTCCAATGTTAAAAATGCAAGTACAAAGCAAAACTAGCTTGGACAGTAATTGAATGGTGGAGCTGCAGGACGTTACCTTTTCAGGGAGCTTACAAAGGTCCTGAAAACAATCAGATCAATGGAGGGAAATCTGCTGGGGTCTAAAATACAGAAAGACCACCTTTTGCTTAGGAAACTGTGTAAAACATACGTTGGGCAGTGAAAGAATGTTCTTGGAAAGTACAGCTGTTTGCCCTGTCCTGTGCATCCACTACCAGCTATTCCTGGAGACAATACGTTACGCTAGAGAGACATTTGTTCTCATATACTGTATCTGCACTTATATATTTTTTCACTCTCATGTTAATAACCTATATAAGTAGGGTTTTTTTTCTGATATATGAGAAAAAAGCAAACTAACAAACCACCCATTAATTTAATTCCTGAGAATTTTCCAGTCCTTTTCCTACTAATTAAGAGTTAAAGAGTGGCTGTAGTTGTGTATCGAAAGGCTGTCAGTCACTAAAGCAGACTGATGTTTTATCTTGGATTTAAGAAAAGACTAAAAAAGTAACGGAAAATCTTTAGTGATCTCAACATTCTTAACTTAAATAGTTTGTGAATTGTTGTGGTGGTTTTTTTTTTTAACTGCTGCTGTGTTTCTGCTGTAGGAAATCTTGTGGCTTGGACATTCTATGCTTGACTTATATTTTATTTGTTTTTTTTTGTTTTGTTTTGTTTTTTTTTGAAGGTACATGGGAATAGGACTTTCTGCTCAAGGGGTCAACATGAACAGGCTTCCTGGTAAGTCACTGTTAAAGTTTGTTTTGGCTTGCAGTCTGTGTTAAAGATTTTAATTTATATATGAATTAGTGAATGTGTGTTTCCATTAATAAAATGTCATGATGATGTGTCTTACTCCTGGAAGCTTCAAACTATTGAGTATTATCCTAAACTGAGTCACTAGTATTGTTAATGTAGCCATGATGATCTTAGCAGATAACAGAAATTAATATTAAACTAATGAGTAATGGGTAAGATGATGAGCTTTCAGACATGCAAGTTCTTCATTGCCTCTGAAAAATAAGTAGCAAAATAATTTGACATTTAATCTGTATATCTCACTTGATGAATTTGCATCAAAGAATCTGAAAATGACAGGAAAATTGGCCTGTCATATAGTGTCTCTTCTTTCCCTCTTTTTACCAAAAAAGTAAAAAAATGTGACAGAGTGGTATTTCCAGTTAATACTGTTGCTTCCTTTATTTGAAATGTTTGGTATTAGGTTAGCTTCTACGTTGGTTAAGTAGCTTCTTTTTAAAAATAAATAATAGGTAACCTTTCTTTAACAATACCCAATTTTTTAGATAAAATTGTAATTTCTAGATTTGGATCAACATAGTGACTTCTGTAGCAGGAATTCTTTCAGCTGGGTTTGGAACCAGAAGTTGTCTGTGTTTGATGGAAAGTGAATGATCTTCAGGTGTCAGAATGGATGACGGCTGGCTCCCAGTGGTGGGGGCTTTTTTTGGTCTTGGGTGCGGGTTACTTCTGGTGGAGTTGTTTTAAAGCTGAAATATGTGTTCAACCCTTACTATGCATCTTCGTATCTCCAAAGCAGAATGTTTTGTGAACGTCCTAACAAAAGGAAGAGCTTCCACAGGGTTTGCAGTAAGGCCCTTGTAAATTCACTTCTCAGTGAGGATTTTGCTTTCATCTTCACTAGTAGCTTGCATATTCAGAGACTGAACATGCTCGTTTTTCTCCTTATAACCGTCAACTGAAAATGATGCAGCATTGGAACAAAATCCTTGACTGTTCTGTTAGCAAAATATGTGATTCTGTAGCTCTGAAATACACATTTCTGAAATGCATATTTCCATTGCTTTGTTTCTGAAATTCTGCTAAGACTGCAGATAGAGACTCAGCAAGAAGATGAAAAGGAGACTAAGATAGCCAGGGTCCTTGGATGACTTCAGAGAACAGCCGACTTTGTGGTGCCCATTCTTTTAATTGTAAAGCGGCTGCTGAATTTTGCGGTGGAGTATCTGCCTTGTCTTCTTACTGAAGAGAAGCATGTTGATTTCAGAATGCATGAGGGACCATTTGGGACCTTTTGCATTGATAAAGAAGAAACTTGGAATTTCAGGCTAATTGCGTTAGTTAATTAGTTCAATAAAAATTTCACCAGTGAAACAATAAGCATTATTGTTTTAGTGAAAATGTCAGCAGCGTGTGGGCCGTTCATAAATCACAGCCATGGTTAACAGTTGCAGGCAGACTTCCTTTTCCAGGTACCACTTTGATCATGTTTGATCGACCTTAGGAGTCTTCTTTTGGCCACTGTTGGAGACAAGTCCTAAGACTGGTTGATCTAAGGGCGGCATAACCTTCCTTGCATCTGTTTTTCTCTGGCAATTTCAGACCTGTCTAGAGAGCTTGTGGAACCTCTAACTTTTGGAGATATTTAGGACTCTGCTGGACATGGCCTTGACCAACCTGATCTAGTCAGACTTCCTTTGAGCAGTGGTTGGTCTAGGTCACTTCTGGAGGTCCCTTCTCTCCTTAGTTATTCTCCACTTCTATGATAACTCTGGCTTTGGGAGAATGGGAATGGTTTCAGTGACACCCATGTTTTAAAGAATTTTCATCTTGCTGCAAACTGTATTTGTTAATAATTGTTATGACAACTAATGCATATACACATTGGAGAGAGAATTAAGGTCACAGGCCTTCATCTACTCAGAACTAGACCAGGGAAGGAGGAAGGGAGGACACTGCCAGTTTTCTCAAGTGATAGTTGGTTGCAAAAATGTAGGGAATGTCTAGATCATGATGATCTGGTGTCAACAGGTACAGAAGTCTCAGTTTTCATTCTGCTTCTCTCTCTGCACTCCCTCTGCCCGTAATCCTCCCAACCCAAGTGGATTGTGTGCATGTACAAGACTAAGCATGGGTCTAGTCCCATCATCTCTTCCCAGGGTTTAAGTGCTTGACTGCTTGGAAGAGTTGTTGTTTGGCTATTAAAGGGAACATGTTCTGTTGAATAAATGACTCTCTGGATTGTGCAGTGGAAAAATAGGTGGGATTTTCGTGTAGACTTGGCCTGTAGACTGCTAGTTGGATTAGTTGGATTAAGTTTAACCTAGGATTCTTCTGGGATTATGACATGGACATACATATATATATAGCATGGCTGAATACTAACCTGAGATGATATGTACTGAATGTCATAGGTGTGTTGTCCTGAAATTGAACAGCCAACGTAATTTATTTTCTTTTTTTTTTTTTTTTTTTCCTTTAGAGACTAAAAATTAGATAATTTTTAATGGCATTGAAGGTCAAGAGCTACATGGGCACTGTTTTGTGGCCAGTTTGAATCAAAGTGCCTGTACACTACTGTTATTTCTAGAGTGTACGTGATGAATGTGTAATTCTTTTCTCCAAGTGACATAAAATATAAAGTGAACTTGAGACTTCAGATAGTGCTTATTTAGCAATGAATTGTACAAATTTGATCCTATGAACCTGTTGTTTGTTTGTTCACATGCAGATTATGCTGCCAAGAGTGATTCTGCAAGCATGGTTAGGTTGATCTCCCATCATCAGTGTAAAATGAACTGCATGGCTCAGTATTACAGCTCACTAATTATCTTCCTGACTTTTGGAGAATGAATCCGTTTTATTTTTTGTAGTATATTGCTCAAGTAATTGAAGTGAGAAACATGTATCAGGCTTAACTGTTATCAGGTCCTTCACAGCCCGGAGTAAGCGAGAGCTCACAAAGAAGTGACAGACTTTGGAGTCTTGACTTGGCTTCGTATCAAAATATAATTTTAACTTTTTGTGAACTGAAACCCTGCCAGGTTTGTCTCCTTAGACCCTTTCTAAATCACTTCTGCTTTAACAGATCATTTTTTGCTCACCGTGCTGGCAGGACAGTATGTGACCCGCTACAGGTAGTGGTTTGGGAGCCCAAAGCCTGGTATGGGAGCCAAAGTTGGTCCCTCTCTTGTTCCCAATTTAAGTGGGGATCCTCGGCACCCTGTCAGCCCTACTTCAAAGAACAATCTTGCTGCTGGGTTCTGTCTCAGACTCCTTCCCCCCCAAAGAAGAAACGCTTTGGCCATATCCAGTTCAAAGTCAGGGCATTTCTGCTTTATGCCAAATTTATTTTGGCTTCAACCCAGCTCGGTGCTGATGTGGGTAGTACTGAGCTTTCTCTGAAGGTTGGAAGTGTGGTTGGAGCAAACTGCGTGTTTCCCTAAACTACTTTTCTCTGCACTGCGAATAGAGACTGCTTTTAAAAGGAGAGTGCCCTGTCCCTGTTTGACTCAAGGTTTCTGTGGGCTGTGCTTTGGAATTCAATCAGCAGGCCTGGAATTATTGTGGGATTTTTATTGAAGTACTAACTTATGTGACCCTGACATATCTTGTTGATTTTCTAATGATTATTTTTAAAACTATTAAAAGGCATTTAGAGCACTAATAAACATTCTGCTTTAAACTAGTGGCTTTTATTGAAATGTCTCTTCACTTCTTTCCCCAGATACAACTTTTTTTCATGTGTGCTCAGTATTTTGGTATCTGAGGATGAAATTACATGTTACAGCTGAACTGATCTAATTCACTGTCATCAAAGAAGAGAAACCTGACCCTTCCTCCCCGCCACCTACAGCTGCACAGTCCCTCGTCTTCCCTCGTGCAAGCCTCTGGCTCTGGCACTTGTCACCTCCTTTGCCAGGCCAGGCCAGCTTTCAGGCACCTGCCTGCTTTTCTGCTGTGTTGGGATTGTGGCAGGCTGGTTCCTTCAGTACTCATGGAGCAATGCTCTTCTTACCTTTGCATCTTGAATATAACATGTGAAACATTCTCTCTTTTTTTTTATTATTTAGCTTTTAATCCAGGAAGTTTTTCTGAGCCCAGCTGAAGATACGTTGCTGGCTTGCTACAGTTTTCACCTACCTTTCATAAAATGGAGAAGACAGGTGTTCCTGTTTTTAATATGGATGAGATGTGCACACTGGAGATGATTCTCCCCTGCATGTGATGTTCTGCATTGGTTCAAGCCCTTCATGCTGTTGAGAGATAATGTTTCATTTGTTCCACCTGTTTGAGGTATCCCAGCAGAAACATACAGCCAGGCAGAGAGGGAAGGAGGGATGATTCTCTATGGTAGCAGCAAGGTCTTAGTTTGGCCTAAAATGTTGTGAAACCATACCCTTAGCCATACCCTGCTTCAGTTTCTGAAACAGCATAGATAGAATCTGATCAATCACTTTTAGAGACTTTAAACACCCTCTGGTTAATAACTGACTTTCCCTGCTGTGCAGCATTGCACATGTTAAAGGGAGTGCCAGCTTTCACTCACCATTGTTTTGTTTTATGAAACTGATTATTTTTTCACCTTACTTTTCAGATGAAAACATACTGCTTGGCTTATTCACTATCTGCCTGCTTCAAACTCCCTATGAAAAGAACAAGCTTTCAAATTCAAGAATGTTTTATAGACTTGAATTAAAGTGCAGCCTGGTAAACCAGTAGAATTTGGTGTACAGAAACCTGCTCCATATTGGGGTTTGGCTTCTGGGACTGTAATGCCTTAAGCCAGGTCAGCAAAACCAGAAACAGTTTGTCCAACTGACCTGTGTCTTTGTTCAGCAAAGGGTTCTTCTGAGTGATCTGTTTTTGTAGACACGTAGATAAAATAGAAACGAGCACTGGGAATTAAGACTTCCCTGTGCTCCCCTCCTCTGGGAATGCCATCCATCCTCCTCCAAAAGCCACCAACACGATGCTTTCCA